GATGAGCCCTTGGTGGCATGCCATGTCCTAATATACTTGAATAAAAACATCGCAACTCCCAAGATAGGGACTTTAACAAAAAAAAAAAAAAACCAAAAGAAGAATAGTGTTAGTAATGCACTATAATATACTATTAAATTTATATAGTATTTGTTAATTTTTATAACATTTTTTTAATAGCATGCTATGGTGCATTATCAATACTAAATAAGAGGCTTAAATAAACTATACAAACATATAACCAAAGTTTAAAGATTAACTTAAAATATAATTATGATTATAAACTACTATATATAGGTTATTGCTATAAAAAATATTATTTGTGAGCAGCAGCAAAATTGATTTTTTTGACAAATGATTGATATTATTTTTAGTCATATATTCATCATTTTAAATAATAAAAATAATTATAAGTAATTAGTAAATAAACATGCAGCATATCATTGATTAATAAGTTTATCTTGTTTATCAAATTAATAAGACCAATAATATTAAAGCAATGATATATAGAAACTGGTTTTTTTACAAGTATATACAAAAAGTAAGTGTTTTAAATTTTTATATATATTAATTCAATATTGATAGATAAACAATTATGCAAAGCAGTATTTAAATGATAAATATAGTAGATATATTTAAATAAGTTTATTACTTTTTTTTTACTCTTATATAATTATAATTTTTTATTTATTTAATTATAACATTATGTTGTTTAGTATTAACTTTATTTAGTTTTTTAACAGTAGAAAAAATTTAGTCAAAGTAATCATCTCTATAAGAAATAGTAAATTAGTTAGCTATACAATGCTTAAGCACAAATTCAGATAAAAAAAAATAATAATGGCTTTAGTAATATCAAAATAAACATATAATTAAATCTAATCAAAATTGGTTTACTCTGATTCTATATATTTATAGAATTAAATAAAATAATATAATAATTAGTATGTATTATTTTTGTTATTACTAAAACTTACTAGCTTTAATCGAATATGATTTTTAATCAATAAAAATTATTTTATAAGTTTGTTATTTTTTTTAGATGTAAATTTATTTAAAAACATGAACTTAAAGAGATAAACTTATAAGCACAATAATTTTTCAAGTATAAATCTATAATTGATAATTAGAGCATGCATTTAAAGATATATAACTGTATTATAGTATTGATCTTGAGAGAATAGATTATGTATAATTGAATAGATTATATTTAATCATTAAGCTTAGTAAAAAATTTTTACAATAAATTTTTTAAATACAATAAAAAATATATATAATAAAGAATAAAATTTTTAAATATATAATTTATTTATAAAATAAAATTTCTAAATTTTGTCAATATTAATAGAATAAAATACTAATTATTTATTAGCATAAAAAAGCAATGCTACAAATTGAATCAAAAATCTTCATTCTATGAATCTTATAAAAAGCATGTAATTTTGAATATTTTGAAAAATATACAAATCAATAAACATAATAAATATAATAATAATCAAACTACAAAATCAAAGTTCAAAGTAATAAAATACTAAAAAATTAATTTTATTAACATATTAAATTAATGACAAATAATTAGCTTAGTGAACCAAAAAACATTGCAACTCTTTAATTTTAATGATTATCAATGCATCTAGACAGCAAAAAATCTGAAAATAAAAAATAAAAAAAAATAAAAATAATAAAAATATTCATATTAAACTAACAATTTTTGTTAGCAAATCAATAGTAAATGCATAAAATTTACCAAGTTTTATAAAGTATTTAGTCTCTTACCTGAGCTTTGAGCTCTATATGAGCTCTACATGAGCTCTATCAAAGCTCTATAAGTTAAAAAGCAAGAGCACAAAACAGTAGTCTATATAAAATGTTATCAATTTTATAATACTAAGGTTAACCTTTTTTAACTATTTTTTTTATTATAATTAGCAATCAATTAGTGCCAAAATATAAAATTTGGCAAAATCAAGTTTCACAATCATGAAAGAGCTTTTTTAGAGAATTAATTAGGCATCTTTGATTAAAATATATATTATGAATATTATTTTATCATTTTCTAATAGATTTAATCTGTTATATAAATTAATTTAATATTAGTATTAAATGTAAATTATTAAATATAATATTTATTTATAAAATTATAAATAATATAAAACAATATAATATGTATAATAAATAATAATATAATATCTAATTTAATATATAAAAATACTAAAAAAATATTAATTTAATTTTAAGAATTTGTGGTTTTATTTATTAAAATCAATTACTTTACCAAAATCAATTTTAATTTTAAAATTGATTATCATAACCAATTAATCAATTATTATATCCGATTAATTAATTTTTAGTTTCAAAATCGATTATTAAAATCGATTTTAAAATATTCGATTTTCGATAATTGATTCCCATCCCTAGCTGCCGCGACAAATTGTCCTGGCAGATTCTCGATTTTGATTGGCTAAGAGGACGTTCAAAAAATTTTGCCGGAATTACTCAAAATTCTACTAATGAAATCACAGCTGCCCATTAAATGAAAATTATTTCAAGGCTAATTTTACCATTGTACGGACCTATTTCTTTGAAAATTTCTATTTTTGGAATGAAAAGGTTAAAAAGTTAATTCCGGCCAAAAATTAGTAAACAATTATGTAATACGGGCCAAATTTTTGCAGATCTACGGCCGTTAGCCAATTAAAATCGAGGATCTGCCAGGACGGCGGATTTCACCCTTTCATAAGATAATAATAAACCTTTTAAATTGTTCTAGAGAATTACTTCGTTACAACGAGGTATCCGCTATAATGGCCTTTATAACGAGAGTAGACAGTACATATCATTTTATCACCAATCTGAAATTCGAAGGCTGAATCTGTTAGTCATAAATTAAAAAGTCTAAAGTCCTTGGCGGCACGTTTCACAGTGTTATCTGTATTCAAAATTTGTATATTAAAATATCGAAATTATTAATTTTTTTATGAAATTTCTCTTAAATATTATATAATTATTATAAATTAACGCAGAGTAAAGAATATGCATGTACATGGTGATGGGACTACATGGATTAAATATTCGAAAATAATTAAAAAAAATCTCTATTCATAATAAATTATTAAAATGCGACAATTAAAATTCCTATTTAAATCTGATCCAGCTTATATATATTAGCGTTAGGATTAGAAATTATAGCATATTACCATGGCATTTTTTTTAGAATAGGTGTAGAGTATATTAATTTACTTTAAATAACATATTATAACAAAGTTATACAGTAACTATTGTTACTATTATCTTGCTCAAACAGTTACACAGTTCGAATGACACTGTTGTCCTCGCTCAAAACACTTTTACAGGTTCATATTTAACACTAAACGTTCTTAATTATTATTATTTTACTGTATTCAGAATACTAAAATAACAAATTTATTTAAACAGTCCCCCATGCACTCAGTACGTTCAATAATTAAATAAGTACAAGATAAGATTTCTTAAGACAAATATAGCCTTTTAATATTAGGGTAATGGTAAAGGGTAACTGTTAAAATTTCACGAAAAACCATTTTTTTCTTAGTACTCCAAAGGTGTTTTCATAGTAGGATTTTAGGATGCTAAGAAGATGCACTGAGTGCAAGGAGCATATTCTAAAGTACTCCTAAAATAATTGGTATTCCGTCGCGCTCTACAACCTACTCATCGAACTTTCACCTTTATCTATGAATCTATCCAACTTATCGATAGCGGTAATGAGTCTATCCAACTTATCGATAGCGGTACACATTTGAATCATAGTAGCTACTATGAGAATATTAGCGTACTCTTTGTCGTGAGGTTCGTACTTGAACTTATCCACGATAGTCACACCTATCTTCTGATACAATTTCAGCACAGACTCGTATGGTACACTGCCGAACATGCACATATTGTTGTTGATGCAGTAGCTCATCACGCCTCGCACGAACTTCGTGTGGAGATTGTTGCTCCTGTACCGCTTCTCTATTGCCATCCTAGAGTATTCCACCAGGTTTGGAATCTTGTCAAGAAACGAGAGATCTACTCCAGTGTCGTACTCCTGCATTTCGAACTTTCCATTCACCCTTCTGCAAATTCTGCACGTACCTATAAGCCTATCCTTACAAAACAAACCAAACACTGTCGCAATATAGCTGCGATTGTCTATGAGTCTTCCATCTTTTACCCTCAATCCTGCGGGATTATTCTTACTGAACCACCATCCTTGTTCCTCCACGTAGACTCTGTATAGAAGCCTCTGGGAGTCCTCCAGATAGCTCTCATTTTCGATCACACGGATCTCGTACATGATACCTACACCTTTCCCGGCTAAAAAAAAAAGTAAATCATTTCAGAGTTTTCAAAGGTAAACCACTTTTTTTTGTTGCTTGATATGTAATTGATCGTAACCTTACTAATTTATATTAAATAAATTCGACTTTATATTCTTCTTTATAATGTTCACCCAGCTTATACGATTAAGTTATTGATTTCCACTACGTCTATAGTCCTTATGGTTCCTTACAGAATTTACTATGCTAAGTTCCTCTCTTATACCAAGAACGAAGTATTGAAGTTTTTCATGAGTTTAAAATACTGTTTGGTGCAATTAAAAACAATAAACTATTCGCTATAATATTATTTACAATAATTGTTAAATTTCATCATCAGGGGGATCGCTAAAGCATATGATTTCGAAGTTTTGATTATAATTAGGGTTAGGATTAGTTTAGCGTTTAGGGTAAGGGTAGGTATACAGCAGAGTCTTCGGATTTTTGTAGCATCTAAAATAGCGCTATTTTTTTTTTAGCAAAGTAGCTAGCAACAATTGTCTTGTGCTAAGATTCGAAATTTACTATGTACTTTTGCATTAAATATATGATTAGTACCTTTGTTCTTGAACTGATTTACATAAACGAGTAATTATATGCATATTTTAGATGATGAACGGAGAATTCATTGAAATGGTAGATAAAAAACTCGCAAAAGAAAAATATGATTACATTAAAAATTTAAATTTAATAAATATAAATTTATAATAAGCTATTTTGATACATTCGCTAATTTCACTAGCTATTTTTGCTATCAACGTCCGGGGTTCCCGGTATATAGGTAAAATTGCTTTCCCGACATTTTTTATTAATGCACCAAGACAGGTTTAGACTGCTGTTTTTTTAACTTCGGGTTGATCTGTGTAAACAAATTTTATGATTTTTTTGGATGATCTACATATAAAACGTCGCGTGGGTACAAGCTTTAGCAGACCTCTACGTACTAAATTATTGCTATTATCAGTTATTAACTCCGGTAATAATTCGTTGTGCATACAAAATTTACGAAAAAGCATTTTAAAGGTTAGAGTACACGTAGATCACTTGTCATATGACTTTAATTTTTTTTTTAGTATTTTAAAAAAAATTTTACTAACTTTACTGTTTTTAGATTTTTAAGCAAAATTGTAAACCAGATTTTTCTGATTCTAACGATAATATAATTATAAAATTTGAATTAAAATTCATTGAAATAGGGTTATTTAAATATTAGGTATTATAAATCTATTATAAAAATCATATGATGGGCCGTTAATAGATTACCATTTTTTAAAAAAACTAATGTCTTAATTTTTCACTAAATATATCTCGATAAATTTTGAAGCTATTCTCAATATTGAATAGTCAAAAGAAAGCTTATATATTTAGCTTTCTTTTGATTATTCAATAATAAGAATATCTTCGAAATTCATTAAGTTATGAGCAGTAAAAGTTAAGAGACACAAATTAGTTATACGTATAGTAAAGAATCATTTGCGCATCGAATTTGCCTTTATGAAAATGTATTGGTGCTTTTGTACTCTATATTGCAACACATTGTCAATTAGCAGCGTTTGAAGTTCAGTTTAACTTTGAACCGCTTGAAGTTGTGCAATACAGATGCTTTAAGATTTTCGTTAGTGAGTAAAGGTTATATTACAACAAAAAAAAAACTTCGAATTGCAAAATAAAATACATTAAGTACACTATACAATTACCTGACTGCATTACGAGATTCAGAATGATCAGAAATCACTTGATCGTGAATTTTCCTACTATAGGCATTCTAAATTTATTCGAATTTATTCGAATAGAAGATTTCATAATTAATGGGTTGACATCAAAGTCAAGATAAAATAAGTGACGTATTTGTAAATCCTATTTTTCTTTAGCGCATAGACTTATTTACATAATCGTTTACCAGTAGATACTTATTTAAATAAAGGTAATTTTATTAACGTGCGCATCTATTTAGTTCATTGAGTCTGAGTTTTAAAAATAGAAGTAAGGTCTTTTAAACACCAACTTATTTAATTCTAAAGTTGCTTCTGAAAACAGTCTGTTCGACTCAATAATCTCATAATTCGAATTACTCTAGTCTAGAGATATACCTCACCGAAGCGATGAAACTAGCGCACCCGTGATCCTGAGTGACTCTCGCGAGCTAAACTATTCGTTTAAGAAATTTTTAATGAAATTTGTAACATATATTTTAAAATAAATTTTTATTATGAGACTCGAGAATTTGCACGACTTTGTCGCGTATGCGATATATGAAATGTATGCTAAGTTTATCTCGCGCAAAGTACATCTCTATTCGAGTCACAAGCTGACGAATCCTACCGCTACATGAATTCCTTTAATTTCTAATGAATTATTTTAAACTAGAGGATAGGAATTGAATAATCAAAACTGATTAGAGTTCCAATCCAGATAAATCTATCATCCATTTATCCGTATCTGAATTTATCCGGATATCCATTTACTATTGATATCCGGATAATCTGACAAGTATTAAAATAATTATCCGGATATCAATAACGGATATCCGGACAAATTAAAACTGGATATTGTGAGCTGTGGAGACGTGATCCCGGAAGCATGTAGGGATGATCGATGTGGAGCAGTAACGTAATTCACGGGTACCCTTATCTGTTATGTCAAGAAAATCCCGGGCTGAAGATCGCTGAAGATCATATCCGGATCCAATAAAATCACAGGATCTCGTGTAACAAAACAAACGCGAAAAACATAAGAAATTGTAAAAAAAA